TGTTATTTTGAATATTGTTTTTATTTTTTGGGCTTGGTAAATAGGTTTGGGGTTTTCTGATATTTCTAACTAGTTGAGTATATTGCCACTATAGTTTTATATTAAAGTATTATATTTCTAAATTAAGAGCTTGTATTAGATCATCTTCTGTTTTGAAGTATAGTTTGGCTCTTTTACAATGGTTTCTATTGTAATTAGTTAAAATATGAACTACTTGAATATTATAAGTTTTTAGTTGTTAAAGTAGAAGGCTATCTAGTGCTAAATTTGGTATATTGTGAATTGTAACTTTGTATCTATTTTTTTCTTCGAGCTTTTTGTAATTAACCATTTTTGGTATAGTTTAATATGTTTTGTCTTGTCTGAGTGGGACCAATTAGTAAACTTTAAAAAGATTGTCTCTTGTTTCTATACTTGAAGAGATCCTAATATAGACTGCTTTCGAATTGAATAAATATTGCTAGTTAATTATTGCTACTATGCTAAGGTAGTTTTTTATTTTTTTTGCTTTTAAGTCTATATAGAAATAAATCCCAAAAAGTAAAATAGTAGTATGATGTATTTGTATATTTTTGGTTAATCAAACTGCTTTTTGGTGTCTATATTTTCATATCATTTTGGTTTTTTGTAGCTTTACTTTGTTTTTTTTCCAAAGTTTCTTATAAACTGTTTTTTATTTTTTTCTCTAAGCTATAATCTAGAGTATTATATTTATTTTTGATTAAGATATTTTTGTTTATATCTGGCTTGGTTTTTGCAGGATTAGAAAAGCCTTTTTTGTTTACAAAGCCCCTTTTGAACTATGACTTAAAATCTTCAATTTCTATTATTATACTATTTTTGTTTGTTGGCTTTTCATTTTGTATAAGAGTAATTTTTATTAGTAATAGTTTTATATTGGTATTTTTAAGAATATCAGGGCTTATATTGTTTTTAGTTTTGTCAATTGGAGCTTGGGTTAGTTTAGCCTTTCTATTGCTTTTCATCTGAGATTTTATATTATTATTTTCTCTGTTATCATAGATCTTTAATTAAGTAATTATAAAATTTATTACAGTAGAACCTGTCAAATCTAATCCTGTCAAAACTAATAACCTGTCAAAACTGATAAAAAATTGATCCACCATGCTTATTCCTTAAACCAAATCTGATAACT